TGAGACGAATCAAGCGCTTTCTATCTTTTAAATATATATTTCACATCCTACTCTCTGTTTTATTCTTTCTTTCTTTTGATTAATTAGGTAATATAACTACATAATCTAATTGACGATTGAAACACTTAAGTATGTGACGCAAGTGTACGAATATGAGAGAAGTGAAGGGAGATGAAATATTAAAGCGTTTGATAAATCCGGGCAATTATCCCTTTTTTGCTTGACTTTTTTGACTTCAAATTTACGTCCACTTTGCTAAAATATATTTCGAAGCCACATAAAATGCAGAGCAAGTTTTCCACGTTCGTACCTAATAATCTCTGTTTTTTTTTTGCCCTTTTTTTAATTAATTATTGAAATTTAAGGATAAAATTTTCCAGGTTTTACGATAAGTTTAAAATGACATTCACATTTAATCTTTTTTAATTTTTAACAATTATCAGTTCCATTCGAATTCATAACTATTTGTTAATGCTTCGTGAACTATACAATCGAAACCGTGTCCATACGATATTTCAAAAGTATCCAAAAATGGACATATCGTTGGGTCCAAATTGATTTAACCCATGGTTTTTAGTATAATAATTATGCATATGGTTCTCCCAAGCTCCCAATATATATTTTAATTGCTTTTAGCAAAATGGGCATCGGAAAAAAAATAAAAAAGATAGAAAAAAAAAGCTTGAAGTATTGATGTGTAATAGGAAAAGTTTAGGATTTCTTGTGAAATTACCTATTTATAATAGTTTTCTTTATAGACTTCCTTTTCTATTTTCTTGATAAGTATGGCGACGAAAGGGCAAATCTCTCTACGATCTTGATAAGGATAGACGACAAAGGCACCCAATCTTTGCTCTAAAGAGTTTTTTTTATATAATTTTTTTCTGGTGTAAATCCTTTGAAAATAAATCATTTTTTAATTAATAGCCTAATTTTGTACGTGCTTGATCTTAGCCAAAAGGCCGAGAACGGTCTAATCTTGTTCAAGCTAAACAATAAACTGCTTTTTTTTTTCAATCAATTATCAATCAAAAGAGAATCAATCAATTGCCAATTCCATAGTAATTCAAGTCTAAAGAATATAAATACGCCACTTGCGTGTTGACAATAGGACTCTGATTAGTTTAGGTGCCCATTACGAGCTCGCTGATACGAAACTGTGTTTCCATTTTTGAAAATACCAAATAGATATTTGAATTTTACCTTTAGGCTTACTTTGTACGTTGCCATTAAATTATCTTTGTGTCTTTATTTACGACTTTCTTTTAACTCCCAAATATCCAATTTCTCACAAACACTCAAAACCAAGTAGAAACTAGGCCACCAAATTCCAAGCAAGACGATAAAATGATTATTCAAGGAGGGGCAATTTGATCCTTCTGAGTTGGGATTACACTAAAAGGTATGTGAAGGGTATTTGCAAAGATAGATGTATGTAAGTGGTCATTAGATCATAACCGAGCTACCTTAGTTTTTTTTCCTAAGATATTTTTATTTTCCAGGAAATGTAGGAGAGAAAAAAAACTTGGTTGGATTCGGCTTGATATCCTCATTTGCAAATAAGCTCTTTATATTTCTATTCTATCAGTCTTTTATATTTCTATTCTATCAGTCTTCTTTTCGGCACATGCTTGATATTTAATATATAAATCATTTCGGGTTTCCATTTTTCCACCATAACCAAATAAAGAAATGATAAGTAAATCACCTTTGCTAAATTTCATTTGCACTTTATTCCATCTATCCTATCAAATAATGGAGCAAATGGGTCAACCCTTGTCAATCTATTTCTGCCAATTGACTTCAAATTGTTTGTCCGCTGGATTCGATTGGAATGATGCAATCAAAACAAAAACGAAAAAAGAAAAAGAAAATAAGAAAGAGCGAGAGAAAAATCAAGAGAGAATTCAAAAAAACAACAACAAAAAAAGAGAGGAACAATAATAAAGGGTATTGCAATCTGCAAATTTGAGAAGAGGGGTGGTGTGTAAGCGATAAACGTAATCCCTTTATGCTGAAAAATTTTGAAATCCAGGATAAGAAAGATAAAGATATACATTTATCCATAGCGTTACCCTTAAAGATAATTATTGCAGAAATAGAGGAAACGTAGAAATTTGATTTCTCTCACTTAACCCACTTTTCTCTTAATGTAATTTATCTAATGGAGGATAGAATACAAGCGTTCATTCTCTTGCGCGTGGAGAGAGGACCAGACTCTATTTATACATGCTATTAACAGGTGCCTTCCATCAAAGCACATTCCATTTTGGAAGAATCATACTTCTTCGTAGCCAATACGGTTATTATAGCATTTAAATAATTATTAAATTATTAATTTAATAACATCATGTGGGCCACAATTATTCTTACATGGTGATGACCGATGAGCCCTGAATTAATGGGTCCTTCCCCTGCTTTGATGGGACGAGCACCTCATTTTGGACTTGGGGAAATCTTTGGACACTTTGCATTTGGACACGAAGAAATCATAAAAACCGGAGGATTCACTCGACAGACACCTTTGATCATCTCCGTTTCAATCTCTCTATCTCTCGTTGAACTTCTTGGAGAGGAAAAGTCAGATTTCAGTAGCTATTTTGGTTGCAACGTCCACGTGCCTAATGTTACCTACCTGCATACACACATTTATATGCGTTTTGTTTAATCGGTTTGTCTCTCGTTAAATGTCTCTCCTTTTTGGAATTGTTGTTATATATATTATGAAGGAGGATTGCTCTCGGCACATCTCAATCATTAGATGCATGAGACAGTTATGCACTAAATATCTTATTTTGATTATGCTCGCTAACTCAATTTTCCTGAGAGGAGAAGCAATTTAATCTATAAAAATTATCTTATAAATCAATAGTTCATCATTAATTGACACTCCGAAAATCAGGCAAAGATTTTTCTTTCTTTTGCTTAAATTTTTCTCAATTTAAAATATTTGTACAGGTGATTTATTTGTTGTTTTTTTATTTACACCCTGATGAGATCTCCCCAAAAAGCAAGTGAATTTTTCTCTTAACTTAATTAAAACACAGTTGATTCCACATCTAGTTGTTGTAATACCTTTCACATTATAGACCTATTACGCTATGCATTACATGGCTTGCTTGTTTGCAATAATTATGGTTGCGTTTACAATCTTCATCGTAACCAAAACTAAAATAACTATTAAATAGAGCGTCATATAATAGTATAGCGAATCCATTACAATGTAAATGTAACAGAGTGCCCCTTATATTTCCCCTTCTCTCTTTCCTTTCTATTTAATTAAAAAATAAATCTATAACGTTACAAAATGATTAAGATCATAATTATGAGGATATAACTATCTTATGTAAATAAAAGATAGTAGAATTATCGATATTAAATACTCAGTAAACTTGGTACTTCGATAGTCTATATAACCACATTAATCACGACGAAAAAACAATAGTTTTTGGTACACGATGAATGAAAATTGTGTTAACAGAGCTTATAAATTAAATTTTGTAACAAAGATTATAAATTGAAAATATGGTCAATTTTGATGTTGGTTCAAGTGGCTCAATGTGCACATCATTGGAGCGAGCCAATTAGGATGACATGTGGTGATTTAGACGCGAGAATGGGCATAATTTGCAACGGGTGTTATCTTTATCGTAACAGTGGGAAATTGAGCTTTTTTTGACGTTTGAAAGATCATGTTTTTTTTGTCCCAAATGCAAAAGAGCGGCCTTTATTTTGGGACTTTTCGAAAGGTTGTGCTCGTAAACGTACGTGGGTGCACGTGAGGAATGGGGGGATATGGGATGTTAGAAACATTTACTAAACTCCTTTTTACTTGATTGTACTTGTCAAGAGTTAAGACATGTTAATCATGAAGATAGCCGCATTTGCAGAAATACTAATTTAAATGCTTCATTTGTGGTTTTGACACACTTATACGCTATGGAATAATAGTGCATTGCGATGACATGTTTGATTATTTTAACCCGATTTTTTCAATCTATATTAATTCCTTGATTCATTTTTAAACTCTATCATTCTGAGCAGGTTAAGCTTTCTATGGAAGCTGCAAAATAGGCTGAGCGTGATGCCTCCCAAGGGTTATTTATGGTACTTTAAATTTTTTTAAGATAGGCTTCGTTTACATTCAGGGTATTTATAACTTGCCATGTCATTGTACTCCCATGTCATTAAGAATGCGACATGTGTCAAGTGGGGGGCTCACTTTTTTATTTTCTCACTCTCTCTCCTTTGAAACCTCCGAGCGTTGTCTCCCTCGTGCTGCTCTTCGGGAATTCCGGACTCCAGGCCAAATCCAACCACACTCAATGCTTTTTCTTTAGCAGTGGCACAATCTCTCTCCCGATTTAGTATTGAAAAGTCAATGTGACTCGTGTGCCGGAGGGAAACGAAGAGAAAGAAACGAAAACGAAAAAGAAAAAGAAAAAGAAAAAGTCTAGTAAAAAAAAGTGGGATGATATATTTTCAGGATTGGATTTCATATTCGAATAATCCTCTTAATAGTAAGAAAGTTGGCTTTTTAGCTATGGGCCTAGAAAAAGAAAAATTGGGATAAGACCCTATAGGATCTCCCCCTTTCAAAATCGGACGTGAAAGTTTCCTTTCATCCGGCTCTAAGTAGTTATCTTCCTATAAACGATATGAAGGTTAAAAACTGCAAAATCACTAGCCAACTGCAAAATCGTGGCACTAACCTCCTCAATGATTTACGAGTGGATAAACACTAGCAAGCTTTTCTGTTCCTGTTGCATATCTGTTAACAAGTTCTTTTTCATTCGAATTCTTTTCTTAAAGATTCTCTTATAGCATGTCGATAGGAGGTTAACGAAACGAAGGAAGAAGAAAATTAGAGAAAACCATCAGTAATGGGGGCCAGGAAATAGATATGTACGACACATTCAGCGAGAATTATTGAGGAAGGCTACCATTATCAGGTAGAGCTCACTCTCATTACTTGCCCAATCCATCCAGTCAACAGCACGATGGGGAATCGGAGGTTCACGCAATTCCCAATGAGAGATGACGAGGAGGACGAGCCTCATCCTAGGAAGCGAGTCTCTTGCTCCTCGAAGAATCCCATGGAGAGCGAGGCCGAGTCCAAGAGCAAGCGCCGGACATTGGTGAAGCTCGTGGACGAGGACAGAGATGGAGGTGAAACTGAGGCTGATCAGAAGGGTGGGCGAGAGGAGAAGAAGAAGGAAGAGGAAGAGGCGAAGGAGGAGGAGGAGGAGGAAGCTGATGAGGATGTGAAGCCGATCGGCGAGTCAGTTAGGTCTTCTGGGAAGGGGACGAAGTGGAGGAGCCATTACAAGGCGTTTGAATACGATGGAAATCAATACGAGCTGGTGAGTATTTGCTCTTTTATTAATTTTCCCTCGGCGATTCTACATTGGCTGGGTCGTTGCTTTTCTCTCTCTTGTTTTCGTTTCAGGTTGGTTCTCAGGATTTTACCTTACCTTTTTCTTTGTTTTAGTGGAAAATATTGCTTCACTATGATTTATTGGGTTCCTTTGGTCTATATGATCACTTAGGCTCCGTAATTTGCTGAAAGATATATGTTTTGCTGTCGTTAATTTAGTCAAATATTGTTATCATGTTTTTCGTTTTCACTTCAGAACACCTGGTGGCATTCATTTGTATGTTTGTTCATTCTTGTTTGACATTGTAACGTCGACAAATGCATGCTCGGCTTTCCCCAAGAAAATATTCCCAATGAATTGGCAATTGAATTCCATCTCCTTTTCCATAGGATCTAATCCAGGATTAATGCTTAGACAACTTAATGTTATGATGCTCTTTGGAAAAATCTTTACCTCTCCCCTTTAAGCAAAGTTGGAATTCTTTATTTTCCTTCTTCTTCAAACTTTTGTTTAACTTTTCTTGTTATCATACTGTGGCTATCATTCAGGAGGATACTGTACTTCTGGTCCCCGAGGATAAACATGAAAAACCGTATGTGGCTATCATCAAGGTAACTATATGGTGCCTCCATTTTTGTTCAGTGCCTCCCTATCTTACTGTGTAGGCTGAGAAACTCATTCCAAGTTATGTGAAAAGTATTAGGGATCATGCTAATCCAATTTAAATTTTCACCACTTTCCTTCTTAATAGTTATCATTGTGAGTTAGCATTATATTGGAAGTTCTAATGAACGATACCTTGTTGAACAACAATACGGAATCTTGAACAATGTCAAACATTATCATGCAATAAGGATTCGTGATGCTTTGGATGTTAGGTGTGTATCAAGGAGTTCTACAGGTACTGCGTTAGGTTCAACCTGCAGGTTTTTGTGGTTCTTGAAGAATCTGATTAATGGTAGTATAGAACATATTAGTTAAGGATTGGGTTTTGAATTCCCTATGAGTTCAATCAGAAGAGTGGATGTCGGGTCTTTTGGTCATCCTTATGACTACGGTCTTGTTCAAGAACTTCATCCTCCAGGGATCGCTACATCACGAAGCATAGTGTGAATTTTTATGTTATGCTTGCTGCATTGGCGGTGTTCAAGTTTCTCCCACTTTCAACCATAACGAATGATGATATATATCTCTCCGTCTCCTTTATTTATTCTTCAGCTCCCTCCGTAGGGGTTTTTGTTCCGTGAGCTTTGGTCTTCTTCCTAGGTAAATATTTATGCATTATGGTGGTTGATTTTTTTTTTATTACTTGAATTTTACCTTTTTCTCTTTATTATATTGTAAAAACTTTGTTTCTTTGATAACTGTCGATTTGATTATATAGGATATTGCACAAACCACAACTCGATGCACGATGGTTACTGTGCAATGGTTCTACAGACCTGAAGAGGCAAAGAAAAAAGGAGGTGGGAGTTGGCAGTCACGTGACATTAGAGAGCTTTTTTATAGTTTCCATCGGGACGAGGTTCCTGCAGATTTGGTGATGCATAAGTGTGTGGTACACTACATTCCAATCCACAAGCAACTCCCTCATCGAAAACAAAATCCTGGTTTCATAGTGCAACAGGTTTATGACACTTTTAAAAAGAAGCTATGGAAGTTGATCGACAAGGATTATAAAGACAAAAAGCAACGTGAGATAGATCTTCTCCTTCAGAAAACCTTTCAACGATTGGGAGATCTCCCAGATATCGATATAGCGGATGCTCACACTAATTAGGAAGATGAGTTGAATTGTTCAAGTATGAAGTGGCCCCTAGTTCAGAGTTTACCAAAGATCTGAGATTGGATTGATTGGATACTTCGTCACCAGCAAACACTATTGAGAAATAAGGAAGATGCAGACGCTACTAAGAAATGGAAGATGCAGAGAGAAAGAGAGTATCTGAAGAATCGAGTTCGGTCAAGATTCAATTATTGATCGCGACACTTTGAGAAACTTCAGAGAGCACTTAATATTGACTTCTACTCTTTTTGTTTTTCAATTTTTTTTTAATAATACTATCTGTGAGATGACTTCTATTTAACTTGTGCTTCTTGATGTCTTTTAAAATATAGCCACAGAGATGCACACTTATTGCGTTTATCCAAGAAAGAGACATTCCAAAATTATGTAAAATCACCCTTATTAAGAAATATTTGAATCAAAGAAATTGATAAAAACACATAATGATAAGTTGAAATTGTACACATATATAGAGAGAGAAAAAAAGGTGAACAAAATTTTCAAATACACCAATAACTCTTACCACGTTACATGGGAGGGATTGCTACGACTGGTAATGATATGCAACTATGATTCAATTTGTTGTTTTATCCCGCACACAAAAAATTGAGTACTAATAGCTCTTATTTATATTTTGAAGAAAAAGAAGAAAATATAATTTTTGAAATAAAATACTATTTTGGCGTAAAAATCTTCTCTCCACTAATTTTAAATTAGATATACTAAGAATTACTTTCATGATTACAATAATAAAAAAATTGCTATTTTAAAACAATAATTATCTGTTAGTTTTTATTTTTGAAGTAATTGCTTTTGCACATAATTAATTAAACAGTTTTTAGATGAAAATTTATTTTTCTAATTTGAAAATCAAAAGAGTTGTTAAATAAACTTAACCATACCACCTCTGGCGGAGATTATTTTTCTTTTTCTATTTTTTCCGTTTAATGATCAGGTGGTGTACGAACTGACGTTGGTGCATCTTAATTGATCTGCTACTACGTACGATCTTAAGAATGCCCCCTCGTACTCAAGCGGTGCATTCATGATAGCAAAGCAATGCAAATCTTTCATTTTTAAGATAAATGTGTCATTTCTATGTATGTCCTGCATTATTTCTAAGAAAATTACGAGATAAAGCAAAACTGGACTATTTTTCACTATCAAACTATTGCGATAACAAAGTAAACAGAATTGAACTAAGAACAACAATATCACGCCGACGAAGATCCACGTGAAGCAATAAAAAAAACGCATGACAAACAAAAGATTACAATAGTTTTTTTTTGGTAACCCAGGGAACCCCCGCGCGGCCGAGTAAACCCTGGGGGCGACACGTGCTAGCCACCACACACGTGCCACCGGTTAAGTCACCCTGCGGCGCCCGGGATTCGAACACTCAACCTTTTGCGAGAGGAAGAGTGCGCGCTCCAGCAGCGCCACCCAGGCGGGTGGTAAAATATTACAATAGTTGATAAGAGAATATTTCAAAAAATATCATATAAAGAAATGGAAATAGATTAATGCTAGAGAGTGCCTCTAGAATCGCTTGTTAAGAGCCATTAATTTGTCCTTTAAATGTTAACTGCGAAAAATCCAATACCCAAGATCTTCATTGCTAGAATCTAGAATACATTAATCAAGTAAAAAAGATTTGCATACCTGTTTTGGAATCCACTGTACTTGATGCGGAATAGCGACGATCTTCATGCAAGGTCTTCTCCTCTATTACCTTTTGTATCACTGGCTCAATGAGATTGCCTCTCACAGATAGCGTTTGCTCCTTATATGAGATAATGTGTGTGTCAAGATTAAAGGAGGGACTTGAACTCTATTTATAAAGTTTTAAACGAGACCGTCTTATCACAGGCCAAGCCTTACTTAGCCCACACTAGCTAGTCCCATATTAGACTAGCGAAGAATCTTTATATTTTATCTTATTAAACCAATTTCGTAAAACGTTAAAATTACAATCTCAATTAATTTAGCCCACATCAGAAAAACTCTTATGTTAAAAATATGAACATTTCTAATCGTTGCTCGGTTGGGGACAAAAATAAAAAGCACGAAGGAACTCAAAAACTATATATCTCATGTGTCATAAGAAAATTATTTATGTAATTAAGGAATTTAATTGTAATGCCATCTTATCCCATCCATTACTTTCTCATACAACACCCAACCTCCATAAACTAAAAGGCCAGACCCACCCAAACACCATAAGCACCATCCCTGCCTGTTGCTTCCCATCGAGTCCACTTGAGAAGCCATTCTTCTCAACATCCTTGTTCATCAAACTCTGGACTTCTCACTCTTTCCATATATCCGCCGAAAATTGCCCCCCAGCGACGGAGCCAGCGGGGACATGGATAACGGGGCCAGTGGCGATTACGAAGAACAAGGAGCGGGCGTCGCACCTAGAAGAATGATTACAGAGAAAGGTACCGAGTGGAGAACTTTGGCCATGATCATTTGGGATCAAACACAGAGCTCAACTAAATTTGTGAAGTGAATTTTTAGGTGCATGTGTACTTTAAAATGTTTTGAGAGGAAAAAGACAATGAGATGGGACCAGAACTTCGACTGATAATAGGGACAGAGAGCAAAGCCAAAGAATGAAAGATGAATGATTTGAGTAACGGCACCGTCCCTTTTAAAAAAGAGACGGTGCCTTCCCTGCCTTTCACTTTCTCAAGAACCCGGTTAAATTGTTTAGCCGGTTTCTTGAAAATTTGGAAGGAAAATATCCCTTAACGGGATAACAGTGAGGTTCCTCATATGCTAAAAAATAAAATAAAGACAGTGAATAACATGAAGAAAATCAATAAAATTCTACAACAATACTAAATTTATTATTGGTAACTATTCACACTATAACCAATTGAGTGACCATGATCAAGAGTTCAAATCAAGCAATCATGGCCTCGAGCTTTGTAGCTCGAAAAGATTTATAGGACATGATGGCTACAAGCTTCGCGACTCGATCCCATGGCCATTGCGAGCTCAAATTAGCGGCCATGGCTACGAGCTCGAGCGGCTATAGAGTCCACAAACTTGAACTTGAACCTTTATGGTTGCCGGAAGCTAGAGCTTGAGCCTGTGATATGGTAGCTGTGATGGAAACCCCATCTCCAACTCTTAATGCTGCTTTCATTTATTTATTTTGTTTAATGTGGCGCCTATTTGGCATCGTATAATTTCTTTGAGCGAATTATAACACGAAACGTATACTCCGGTGTTTGCGCCAACAATTTTGCTATAAATGTCAACAAAAATCGACCGACAAGAGAAAAAGTATAAGGAGACATTTTCTAAAAAGTTAAAGGAGGCTTTTTAACATAAAAAAGATAGAGAGCAATTTTAATTTCCGGACAAAAATAGAGGAATAACATGTGACATTATTTCTTATTTATATGAAGACACCAAAACCTTCCCTTCCACAATTATCAAATCCAATTGCCTACCTCTCACAAAGTGAAAATTGTGGTCAACATGCGACCGCTGGAAATTCAGCATGACCATACCGTATGCTGGCGGGGCTCATCAATTTATATCATGAAACAAATTGGATAACCAGATATCATATTTGTACGGTTTCGAGCTTGCAGCATTATAAGGGATGGGATTCACAGGCAAATTCCACTATTACTTTTTTTATAAGAAATAGATAAGAAAAAATGGAAATATAACAAATAGATTAATGTAAGTTGGATCTCATCATCCCATGGCTTTTTTTATTATTTATTATCCCGATTACCTATTTACCATGACAAAAGATTTTTGGTCCCAAGAGCACCATTACAAATTCAGCATAATGGTCGTTAGGCTAGCCAGACTCAAAATAATATACATCTATCTTGGAGCACCTTCTCCTTTCCAAAAAATTCAATCGATTTTTTTCTTCCGTAAAATATCATTAATCACTTATTTTACAAACATTTCTGAACCTGGAGAAAATGAAAAGTACTTAATTTTTATTTTATCCCCACACATTTCACTTTCAAAATTTGGATATCTTCTATCTTACTACAACTTTCCATAAAAGATGTCGAATACTAAAATATTATTTCTTTTCCACATATATACGGTGTATTTTTATCACTAATTTCTTTCAAGTTTTCTTCTAATGACCTTTTTGAGCTTAAAAGGGTTTGTATATTGACCCAACCCACATCTGACTTGACCCATTGAATTAGAGTTAAAAGATGCGCCATGAGCCCATTTTGCTAGCTCTATCGTTAACTAAGTGTCGTACTTTGACCTATCAAAATAAATCTAAAATCCATATATGACCCGAATTTATTGGAATTGATTATATATGAGTCACTTCAAATTTGAAGATCCTAACTATAATGGATTATAATTTAAAGTCTAAAATAAATGTGCCTAAATGGGTTCTATCTGCTAGGGCTCAGATTCTCTTCTCCCTCGGTCTCTCTCCCTCTTCGCTCTCTCTTCGCTTGCGAGTCGCCGCTTTCACTTCCTCCAGCCTAGCTCCAGATGCCTCCAGCTCGTGCCTCGGTCTCTTGTTTGATGCTTGAGTTCTTCAATCTGCTTCACCGATTTGGAAATCTCGGCATTCTTGGAGCAAATCAGGCCCTTAAGCACGGGGACGAGGGGCGCCATCTCTCGTACGAGCTTGTGCTCGAGGAGCGACGTGCTCGCAGAGGTCTTAGACAAAGCGAAGGAGGTCGGAGATGTCCAGCGGGCGAGGTTGGACCTGGGCAAAGGAGCATGGGAAATAGGCGCCGAATTGTCTCCGACTATAACTGACAAAGGCAAACGCCCAAAAAAACAGAAATAGTGTGCCATATCAGCGCCTCCGGATACGCAACAACAAGGGCCAAACATAAAAAGCATAAGAACAAGCGCAAAATCGGAAGCAGCTTCGAACATAGGCGAGATAAGTTTCAGCGCTTACATGTACTGATTTAATGGCGGAGGATAGGGAAATGGTATCTGGTGATTTACAAGGGCCTGCTTATCATTAAAGC